ACGACCAAGGAAGCCGAGAGTGTCACGGCAGCGGGTCGATGTGGACTATGAAGTCGAGATGTTACTAAATGAAAACATGTTTGAACGGACATTTCGCATGCCTGCGGAAAGTTTTAGTCATTTACTGTGGAGAGTTACACAAGCCCTCACTGTATCAGAGCGGCACTCAACTAATTCGAGTGGCGAAGCACCTATTTCGCCTTCGATAATGCTAATGACGACGTTGCGATACCTGGCGGGGGGATCATACCTTGATATACGTCGTACGGTTGGCATTAGTGCGCCCTCGTACTATCGTGTGATCGATCTGACAATGGATGCTATTCTTGCTCTTGAGGAGCTTCAGATAACTTTCCCCAATTCGGACTCGGAGAAAGAGGTTGTGATGGAGGCGTTTAAGAACATCAGCAGTGGTGGTGTAATGAGTGGATGCATTGGTTGTGTTGATGGTTGGCTTTGTCGTATAAAGACACCAACCCTTGCTGATGCTGGCGAAGTCGGTGTGGGTCGCTACTATAGTGGTCATTACGCCTGCCCTGGCATTAATGTACAAGCCGTTTGTGATGCTCACTGTCGGTTTATTGCAGTCGATGCTAGTTTTCCAGGTAGCACCAATGATGCCCGTGCATTTCGTGACACTGGTGTCTCCAGGGCATTGAATAATCTTCCTACTGGGATGTACATTATTGGAGACAATGCTTACTCTGTAGGTGAGCATTTACTCACGCCGTTTTCTCGCAACCAGATAATGGATGAGTATCATGACTCGTTCAACTTTCACGCTAGCCAATTGAGAATACGGATCGAAATGGCATTCGGACTTCTAACGACGAAGTGGAGAATTTTCAGGTTTCCAATAGAGCGTAACTTAGTCAACGCCACGAAGGCCATATACATCGCTATGGTGCTCCACAACTACGTTATCAACAAGCGCATGGCCAACGACAACGACTATTGCGTTTTTGATGAGACTATCCGACCGCTTCGGATACCAAGCCGAACTCGAAAGTTCAATGATGTTGCCAATCTGATGGGGTACATGTCAAGTGATCTTCGAGTCGAAGAAGGGCGCAGCAGTATGAGGGACTTCATTGTGGAAACACTTCGAGCGAATCAATCCGTTAGACCCCAGTATAACAAACGTCGCAACGCTGAGTAGTTCGTATACATGTACTGGAACGATTAGTCTTTTAACAGCTCCTTCGTTTTTGCTCGAACGTACATCTACTCGGCCGACTGGTCTTTTAACAACGCTTTCTTCTTAGCTCGAACATGTTCAATATCATCGTTGACTTCTTGAAGGTCATATTTTGTGTAGCAGCCGTCTGGTGCGTTCATAATCCGCTCTCGTAGTGAAAGCAGAGAGCTCAACGTGGAGACAAGCTGAGCAAAGCGACAATCTATCTCCAATGCCTCAGCGGAGTTGTTGCTACTCCGGATCGTCTCCAAAATTTCTGACACCATATCATCTTTGCTTGGGCTGGACCTGGATCGGGTGCACTTCCTCTTGGACTCTCTCGAAATCTCGCTTTCGCTGTCACTGCTTGTATCCATGGTTTGCAGCCGGGCGCGTTTAGGAAGCTTGCCTTCTACAGTCTCCAATACCCCGGGCTTGATGATTAGCCACTCGTGCATGTACATAACGTCGATCTTCCCGGAACAAAAGGAGAAAAAGTCGTTGTCGTGTGTACCTGACACGCGGGAGTTAGCAAGAGCAGTATTGTATCGACTACTGACGTCCTTCCACATATCACGAAGTTTTGCTGCGTCATGAGGTACAATAATGGCTGGGTTGCACTTGGCAAACAAG